ACCCGGCGCATCCATTATCATTAGGTAAATAGGTTTGCTTGCCGCTGCTGCCTTGTGTTTAGGTTCTTGGATTAAAGCGCTAGAGGAGACAATCTCGAGCAAATAATTCCAGCGACTGTTGGGGACCCGTCCCAAAAAACCTCAGGAAAACATCTGACTACAGAATTACATTTCATATTACGGGACCAGCGCGTTCTTCAACTCTGGTCCAGTGGTGCAAGTGAATTGTATGCGAACTGGACTACCCAATCGCGAACGGTGTCTTGGTATTGAATGCGAATGGTCTGAAGTGCGAATCCCGACATAGGCGCGAGAAAATAAAGACATCGGGAGTCAACTCCCACTTCACCCTGCACCACAGCGGCCCACTCGACTATCCTGTGACGATCGTCCTCTCACAACAAACGAACAGTATTACTTGCATGGGAACCAGTCAATGACCAGATGGCCTATGTGTGACCAAACGTTCAAATTAAGAACATCACTGTTGTCTCCGTGTAAGAACCAACATCAGCTGCCAAACATCGCGATAAAGATATTTTTAGTCGCAACTGCTGGTTGTCGCCGGGGACTGGAATGACCGAACTGCACGTAGCGACTCTTCAAACAGTCACCCTATTGGTCACTTTGGGCTTGTACTTACTTGTACTTGATACGGCTGCGATCATGCCTGATCTAGCCGGCCTTGATGATGTCCCGAACTGTACTTCTCCACGCGTGACGATCCGCGGCAGCAGATCTGGACAGCTCAACCCATTGCCTTCGCCAACGACGCAGACCGAATACCAAAGGTCCAAGAACCACCTCCATGTCTTGATGAACTCTTTCAAGCTAGGTTTTGAACTGATCCCCCTCTTCGACGCCTCCAATGGGACAACGTGCTGGATCGAGGGCAGTAACACTGAGCTCCTGAGGTGGACGAAGAAGAACATGCCCAGACAACCTCAGTCGTCTTTCTTGGATGGCTTGAGTTATCCTTACGATGTTGTCGCAGCGAGCGCGGACTGTCTCATTTGAGACGAAGTCGGTTAACTTCACTCGAAGAATGGTCCTCAAGCAGTGGTGGTCAAATACCTCCAGTTTTCCCTCATCCTCCACGCGCACAGCCCAGCATTTACAACCATAGAGAAGGACAAACCGGACAGATGCACGGTACACGCGAATCTTAGTGGCGATGGAGATGTCACGTCGGTTCCACAGGCATTTCCGAAGGCTTGAGAAAACCGAGCGGGCAGCATAGATTCGGGAGACAATGTCGTCCTTACTCTGTCCATTAGGCAGCAGCCTCGCCCCGAGGTATTTAAAACTATCTACTTCAAGTTGACAGCCATCAATCCCGAGGGGTGCCTTCTCCTGGTCAGGGATGCAGCTTGAGAACACTTTGGTCTTCCCAGCGTTTATGGACAAACCGACCGATTTAGCGACCTCGTTCACCCGTGACACCATAGACTGCAGATATCCAAAATTTGAAGCAAGTAAGGCAATATCATCGGCATAGTCGAGATTAGTCAGTCGATGTCCGGGTGCAAATTCAACGCCGTCGCTCTCTCGTAGGGCCCTCTCGAGGATCCAGTCAATAGCGTAGTTGAACAGTATGGGTGACAGGATGCAACCCTGTCGGACGCCAGACCGAATACCGAACGGTTGGGAAAGATTTTTACGGACCAGGACTCTCGCAGTAGTGGAGCGATAATAGGCCTTGATCATGGCGATGATTTTTGCCGGTACCCCATCTAGGACCATTATCCGCCACAGGGACTCACGGTGAACGGAATCGAACGCGGCGGCAAAGTCAATGAAGCAGACGACCGTAGATTGTTGGCAGTTATGGCGAAATTCGAGAATGTGCCTTAGTGTGAATATCTGGTCTGCGCATCGACGTCCAGCACGGAATCCGGCTTGGTTGGGTCTCGTCCTTGAGTCACGCACAACCTGGAATCGCCTGAGTAGGACAATAGCGAAGATCTTCACAGCAACGTCGATGAGACATATGTCGCGGTAGTTCTCGCATCTCGTCCTATCTCTCTTCTTGAGGATAGGTACAAGGATGCCTAAGCCCCAGTCATCAGGAACAACCTCGTCTCCACACTCGTTCAATCACCTCATGGAGCCAGGGCGCCAGAGTGTCGACACAAGACTTGAAGACTTCAGCGGGTATACCGTCCTTTCCGGGTGCCTTATTGTTGCGCAACTTTCGTATGGCATCGGCGACTTCTTCCTCGGGGGGCGGGGGGGGGGATCGCATGACACTGCATAGGTAGGAGAGGGAAGAAACTCCGCTGAGGAGGAGAACAAGGGCGATGTAGGTTGGATATCGAAGTTGAGATGGTGCTCAAAGTGCTCACGCCAGCGCCTGACTTTGGCCGAGTTGTCAGCACTAAAGCCGCCGTTCACATCGCGAACAGAGTCACTCAGTGTAGAGGGCTTACCGCTAGCTTGGCGGATCAGGCGGTAGAGCTTTCGAGTGTCACCAACGTTCAAGGCCTGTTCCATGGACGTAGCTATTTCAGCCCAATATTGCTTCCGGTTATCCCTGGCCGATTTTGCCGTCATCTTCCGAAGTTGGCGGAAACAGTCATCGTTACGCGACCTGGCTCGAGCCGTCTGAGCAGAAAACTGTAGGGTTCTTCCGCTGATCCAGGCACTGAGGCGTCGCTGGGTGTATCCAAGGCTTTTCTCAGCTGCCCCATAGACTGAAGTCTTCAGTGACGACCACTGGTTACTGACTTCTCCGTCGGCTAGGGTCGTAAAACAGGTCCGGATTTCTCTGCTTAGGTCCTCGGCAGTGCTGGCTTGCTGGATTTTTGCGACATCGAGGCGTCTAGGACGTGGCATTTTCCGCGCGGATGAGAGATGAACTTTCAAGCGTGTACGGACGAAGACATGGTTCGACCCATGGGCGTTACCAGTCTCGGCACCACGCATCGATCTGCTATCGTGAACCCGGCTGCGGAACCTTGAGCTGACTAGTATGCAGTCAATCTGGCTGTCCGTACGACCGTCGTTTGAATACCAGGTCAGCAGATGTTTTTTGCGATGCTGGAAACATGTGTTGGTGACAAGCAGTCGGTTTTGATCAGCGAAGTTCAGCAATCTCTCGCCATTTTCACATCGGGAACCAAACCCATAGCGGCCAAGAAGATGATTGGTTGTGGGGTCGCCAGATCCAGTTCGACCATCCCAATCGCCAGCAGCAATCATCAGATCGCGGCGAGGCAGTCTTTCAACTAGCGCTTGCAACTGAGAGTAAAACGCCTCTTTATCGCGCTGTTCGGCAGTCGAAGTTGGTGCGTACACAGCGACGATGAAGATGTTCTTGATGTGACCCTTCAGTCGCACGTAGGCCATCCGGTCATTGACTGGTTCCCAAGCAAGTAGCGCGATGTCCGTTTGTTTTGATAGGGCGATCGCCACACCGTGTCAACCAGAGGAATCGCGCGGGCGGCTGTGGTCCAGGGTGAAGTGTGATTCGACTCCTGGGATCTTTATTTCACGGGAGCCTGAGTCAGGGGGTCGTACCTCAGACAGACAGCAGACATCCACGTTGTACTGATAAAGGCTGCGTGCGGTCACACTTTGGGTACTAGGGTCTAGGAACGTTCGCACATTCCAGCATCCAATACCGAGAGTCCATCCACGATTGAGCAGTCCAGCTCGCGTACTATTCGCCCGCACCACTGGACAAGGGTTGCGGAGCGCGTCGGTTCCCGCGGACGCCGTAGCATGGGTCGTAGTACTGTGATCGGACATGTTTCATGAGGCTTCTTGGGAATTTCGAATACGGGCGGGTCCCCAACAGCCGCTTGGATTGTTCGTTCGAGGTTGTCTCCTCTAGCGCTTTGACTTAAAAGCATAACCACAAGGCAGCGGTGGCAAGTAAACTTATTTAATGGCGGTTTACGGTCGCCATGTCATAATGCCGTCATTGGGTTTTACGACTTTTTATAAGGCTTTCAGCGTGCCAGACCTCAGCCCACCACACCCTGATAGCAATGTCGCTGCTGGTCCGCGACTGCTTATTCGTTAGACCTGGGTCTGCTTATTTCGCAGCTAACCTTCACTGAAGGTCGCCCCACTATCCGCCACCTGTGGACGCGCCGGATAGCCTGCAGCTAGGCTAACGGGCAACCCGTCTTCCCGGGCTTGGTTCGCGATGCGACAATAACGAGAGAGTGCTGAGCTTTACTGATCAGAGCCGACTGCTTGTCACCATCACGGGCTTCCAGCATCGCCACAGATATCTACTGACCCGGTACCTAAACGAGGGTCATACGACAAGTCAGATCGGTTTGATTCTAGTCGGTTCAAGGTCCCGCATCTCAACTCACGATATTAGATCGATGGATCGAAATTGGTTACACCCACTGGTCAGACCATGTTATGGTTCGCACGCGCTTGGAAGTTCGCCTCTCACATGCACCCAAAAAGCCGCGTACAAGACGCTTTGATATCGGCAAACTTCGACAGCCCAGGACTGCGGACACCCTGGGCAGAGAAATCCTAACCCGTTTTACGATCCGAGCCGACGGAGAAGGCGGTAACCAGTGGTCATCACTAAAGCCATCGGTCTATGGGACGACTGAGAAAATTTTTGGATATACCCGGCGACGCCACGATGACTAGATCAGTGGAAGAACCCTACAGTTGTCTGCTCAAACCGCTTGAGCCAGGTCTCATAATGATGATTCATTTCGTCAACTCTGGAAAATGACAGCAGTGCCGGCCAGGGGTGACCGGCAGAAATATAAGCCTGGCACAGCGAACCCCATAAAGCAGGCCTAAGACATTGGTGACACTCGAAAACTTTACCAACTTATCTGCCAAGTCAGAGTTAAGCGCTAGACATTTAATGGCCCTGTCGGCAATGTGAATTGACGGCTTTATTGCTGAAAACTCGGCCAAGATCGATCGTGGCGTGAGCACTTCGAGCATTTCAATCTTGATGAGCGACCTACCACATCCTTGCTTTTCACTGCAGCGGAGCTCTATCCCTCTCCAGCCTATGCAATGTCATGCGACCTTCTGAAGTATTCGCTGATGCAGTGCAGAGGCTGTCCATAGAGGGCGGTATTTCTGCTGAGCTCGACAAGTCATGTGCTGACATTCTGGCGCCCTGGTTCCATGAGTTGACTGAATAAATGTGGAAAGATGAGGTCGATCTTGGTGACTGGAGCTTGGGCATCCTTGTGCCTGTCTTCAGGATGCGGGAATTGCCGCGGCACAAGCCTCATCCACGTCACTGTCGAGGTCTTCGCTGTTGTTTTTCTCAGACGATCTCAGGCCGTACTTGATTTTAGGACTAGGTCCAACCAGGCCGGATTCTCAACTGGGCGTGGGTTTGCCAACCAGATATTTACACTAAGGTGCATTCTCGGATTCCGCCATAGCTGCCAACAACAGACGGCCGTCTTCTTTGCTGTTTTCGCGGCTGCGTTCGATTCCGTTCATCGTGCGTCCCTGGGACGAATAATGGGACTAGATGATGTGCCGGTCAAAATCATCGCCATGATCAAGGCTTACTGCCGCTCAATCATCGCGCAGGTTCTAGTCTATAGCAATCTCTCCAAGCCGTTCAGTATTCGGTCTAGCCTTCGGCAAGGTTGTATTCTGTCGCCCATTCTGCTCAGCTACGCCACTGGTTGGATTCTCGAAAACATTCTACACGAAGTTGACAGTGTTGAGTTTGCGCCTGGCTGCCGGTTGACTGATTTCGACTACTCTGATGATTTGACTGTACTAGCTGCAAGCTTTGGCGATCTACAGTCTGTGGTTTCACGAGTGAATGAGGTCGCTAAATCCATCGATTTACGTATAAACGCTGGGAAGATCAAAGTGTCCTCGAGCTGTTTCCCTGACCCAGAGAAAGCACCTCTCGAGATAAATGGTTGTCTACTTGAAGATGTAGACGGTTTAAAATACCTCGGGGCGAGGCTGCTTCCGAATAGACAGACTAAGAACGATATGGTCTCCCGAATCGATGCTGCCCGCCAGGTTTTATAAAACCTTTGAAAGTGTCTATTGGCCCTACGCGACGTCTCCACTGCCATGAAATTTTTTGTGCACCGTGCATCCGTCCGGTCTGTTTGTCTCTGGGGTTCTGAATGTTGGACTGTGCCTGTGGAGGGCGAACAAAAACTGGAGGTATTTGACCATCACTAATCGGGGACGATCCTTCGAATGAAGTCCACCGGCTGCGTCTCAAATGAGACAGTTTCCACTCGCTGCGGCAACATCGCAAGGATGACCACGGTCATCCAGTAAAGACGACAACAGTGGTTTGGGTAGGTTCTTAGTGGTCCACTTCAGGAGTTCAGTGTTACTGCCCTCGACCCGGAGCCCTTACCCACTTGGAGGCGTCGAAGAGGGGGAAGGGAGGGGGACTATCAAAAAATGGCTCGACGCAGTCCGTCACAACATGGAAGTGGTTCTTGGAACTTCGGTATTTTGTTTCCGTCTTTACTGAAGAGAATGGGTGGGGCTGCTGCTGCAGATTCTCACGCGTGGAGAAATTCAGGCCGTGACATCGTCGAGGCCGACTAGGTCAGGCAAAATCGCGGCCGTACCCAATACAAGTACAAGTTACTCAGCTGTCATCTTTGGCCTACAATGCACTGTACTCAGGTGTTACTCCTGCGGACTATTTTCGACTAACGAGTTAAATCATGTAAGATCGGCAGGCTTATCTTTATCATGCTGATAATTGCGATCGAAGATTGGTTCGGATGTGGCAGAGGAATTAGTTGCGTAACACAGCGAGATAGCTTCAAAGTCTATGGACAGAATGGTGTTACCAACAATGGCAAGGGAGACTGGAATGGCCATTTCTGGCTTATTAGCCGTCGTCAGTCAGTCATACCCAACCCCGAAGTGTGGAACACTTAGGGTCCAAACTCGAAACCTACTAGTTAGAAGTCCAACGCCTCTAAACAGGTGTTCCACACTTCGGGATTGGGTAGGACTGGCTGACGACGGCCTGTAAGGCACAACGGGACGAGTGAGTTCCTTAGAAACGATCGGTGAGCGCTCCTCTACCACCCAAGCCGATGTTCGCCCACTTTGTTGTGCAATGGGTGTGCAAAGCATATGAGGCCCATGCTACTGAAATATACTCTAATGTAGGCACAAGCCATTTTACTCCCTTCGGGGTAGGGATGATCATCCTGTCCGGCGCACCAAATATCACATTCCGGTTATCCACTCTCTCTTTTGACTAGCGTCGTTACCTATCTTGTGTTCCATCCTGGTATGCCGTCTTCATCAGGAGTTTTGCAAGTAGTAAGAACCCACACTACCAGAATTTTTTAGCGCCGACATATATACAACGCAAATACGGGGCAGTGCAGACACAAGGAGATGGAATTGAGGTGGTAGGGACTTGGGACACAAAGCGAAGGCTGCATTCGCAGGCTGCTTTGGCCAGCTGCGGCCTAGTGGGCCGCCAGCACCGTTCCAAACGGCGTTTTCTTTTAGCATCTGGATTAGTGCAGCCGTATAGTCCGCCGACATCAATGGCCGTCGTCCTGTGCTCAGGTGTGTCGCAAGCAATTGCTCAGCATTTCGACGATGTCTTTCACCCTTGAACCCAAGTTCATGGCGGCGGGGTGGAACGACAAGTTATAGGGATTAATTGTCGCCGTGTCACTGTTAAGCTATTGGACTCTGTGGTGTTCATAAAGTGGTCGGTATGCCAAACCACAGACCTCAGTTATGTCGGTCTGCGCACGTCTGCCGGAGACTTTGTCGAACAATGGCCAGTTACTTTTTTTTAGGTTGCGCTGTCCGACGAGAGAGTATCCAGTTTCCGGCTCTTAACTTTCACTTTTGATGTTGCTTACTTGCGGACAGTGCCGTACTGATGGTAAGGTGGGGAAGTGTTTTTGGTGCTGAATCGAGGGTTGAGCCAGCAGCCCTGTGTGTGAATGGCAACACGATCGAACCCAGTGACGTCTGCTGGTCTTCCTTTATAAATATCAGTGGGCTAAAGGTCTGGAAGCGTCTATTATGCCAGGATCAGCAAGCCATGGAGCTCGCAGCTTCCCTGTCGGTAGACGCGCCTGGGCTCGCGCTGGGTATACAGGTCATGGACATGGCTGTCCAGGCACCCTTTTCTCTGCGGCCGTCTTGTTGTTGTTGCTGATGACGATGTCATTGGTTAAATCCTGGTCATTTGCTGTGTGGACCTGAGGATTGGTGGTACGCCTAGGTGCCGACTCGGTCGTGCTATCCACCTCGCACCCTCCCCCGCCTCCGGTCTTCTTGGCTCTGTCTTGACGCCGGGTCCGGGTAGGAAGTAGGAGGAGAACGTACGGTAGATGCTGTGCAAGTTTACTACCACTATAAACTAACTC